TAAGTGTGACGCCACTTCAGTTTAAACCACGCCCACTGCACAAGATACACGACCATCGCAGGTACGTTAGTTCGCGGTAAATTGTGATTATTTTTTCTTTGGATTTTACACGTCAAATCATCATGAAAAAATCTTCCACAAAAATTTGCAGCCTGAAAAGTCTGAATTTAACATACCTTTATGTATTTTGTGTCTTGACTCCTTACTTTCGTCTGATCGTATTAAGAATTGAAACTGACACATACAGCCTCGTTTTCAAATGCGGAAGTGCCGGATTGACGCTAAAAGCGTCGTATTGGGATCCTTCCATAGTAAAACAATACCCTGCCCACAGTGTCGCCAGTGCAAAGAAGTCTTGCCAACCATTTTCCCCACAATGCACTGCAAAAAAAAAAAAAAAGAGGCCTCTCCCCGGCAACCTCTTGGTGGCGCAGAGCATTTTGAATCGTCCGTAATTAATTAATTAAGGGGCGAAAAAAAAAAATCTCATGAATCAAATGCCACTACGGCACTCTCACATCCCTTTAACACTGACACACACTCAAATTAAACACTTGGTTGGGTGGAGTCACTCAGCCAGCAGGTCTAAAAATAGATCACGTCCAGGGAGGCAACCCGTGCGTGCAAATTAAGCGTGATTATTCTTGCACGGTCAGCGGCAGGCGAAACGGATTAACACCAAGTGCCCAGCCTGTGTGGGATACGTACAGTGTACACTTGCTTGTAATATGAATATGTACACTGTGCAGCCACAAGATCACCAAATGTATGCGTTGGTGCTACCTACCGCATTTGTACAAGTTTATACTTAAGTGGTCTTTTAGATCAGTCCCCGATATATTATACCCAACTTAGAATTCATTCCCGAGCTTTCTATATCGGTGGTGGACTCCTGGGCTTCCCCTCAGCCCTAAAACAAGTCCTTGTACAAACCTACTGGTACCCATGTACAATACATGTACCACACCAGATTCTTCTGTGGTTTGATTCACTCATCTTCAAAACAGGAAACTCTGGTGCATGGACATGTATGTACACGTACACTGTGTAGCGGGCCCATGGACAGGATGGATTGGAGCTCTCATTTCGTACGGGCGCATGTTCACAAGCCGAACACTGAAATCAATATTCTGCTAGGAGGATCAATGGCTGGAAGCTGTGAACATGTACAAGACGGGGACAGGAAAAAAAAACCTTTCCAGTGCTCCCCCAATGTGGACATGTACATGTACATCTACAGTGCATGTAAACTGCACAGTGCGTACATGTACATGTCTCTGTACATGTACACAGATACATGTGCAATATGTGCTGAATTTGATTCTCAGTCTGTTAACTGAGCGCTGCAAAAACACCGGACTATGCTGGAACACATTCAAGTGTCGGAAATTAAGAAGCTCAGCATGAAATGCGGCACAGGATTTGACAGCCCTTGGAATTTGCTAAATACACAAGTTACTTTGGCAAGCGCTTAACATTATGAAAGAATTCTGCCCCATTGTCTCCATGACATTGCAGGTAATTTTTATTAATTTGTTACATACGGTACGCTCGGCTGAAGTCAAAATTTACATAATAATATTAACTACTCCGCTGGGATGAAAATGTCTTGAATTTCAGTTTCTAGGTGTCAACACATGTCCAGCTCTACAAACAGTGTTGGACTGACCATAGCATTACATGTACGTGTATATGTACCTGTACCTGTATATTTGCATGCAGGTTTCGAGTATGGGTTTGTGACCTCAACATGTGCAGTCGTGTACGTCCGTTTTAAATACTGTACTGGTGCAATGCAAGATTGACCTAATCAAGCAAACCACTACGGTGCTCCGTGTAGCGCACAGCGTACATGTAGGTATGAGAGAATGATGTATTGGTCCCTGGTGCACGTGGCCTGAGGGACAGCAGCATGTGCTGGGCACAATGTGCGCATGACTGTGTACATGGGCGATAGGTCGATCCTCTAATAACATCTCCAACTTGGCTGTGCATATGGGCGACAATCTTCCACTGTTGTGAATTACATGTAGAAAGGAAAAGGTGACCGGCTGACGGTACACTGTAGAAATACATGTAGCAACACTGCGCACAGATCAGGTGATCACGAGGATTGACCGATTACGCCTGACACATGCGTGCATACCTGTATACACCTAAATGTAGATGTAGGGTTTTAGCCAGCAACTGAAAACAGGTGTCAACATTTGCCTTAAAGCAAAAAAAAAAAAAAAAAAGGTCGTCTTAAGTCGCTAAGGTTAAATATGCTTCCGCATGCATTTGAGTAATGCAAACAATGCATCCAAAATGGCTTACAGACTCTCAACAAATGCCCAGATGTCCTGCTGGCTAAAAACTTAACAGGTGGCATACATGTATGTCGTACATGCATGCAAACAAAAAATGCAATGAGCAAAGCTAAGATTACTGTACATATGCAAGAAGAAACAGACATCTGTACTGAGGTAGATTCACTGGTATTTGGTTTAGTTTTAAACAAACATGCACGACTGGGATAATTTGAATGTACCATGTGTAAGAACAGCAATGCCTTGACAGTATTATGCACATGGGCCTGATGTCAAATTCAAATCTGCATCTTCACCTATCCACTCTCCTCTCCGAAAGCACGACAAAGTGCATGTAGGTGGGAGTTGAATTCTGACAGGCAACTTAATGAAAGATTCCAAGGAAGAATACCGGGACGTTTGGTTAACAGAGCATGACGTTCTTCATCCCATGCTTTCATCATTAAGCTTGTCACCTCTGAGAACTTAACTGACAACAGCAGGTGCATGAAATGGTAACTGTAGACTTTAAATTCACACGAGCTCTTTGTTACTGGTATGTTTACTGACAGATGAAGGCCGTTTTGATAAAGATGGTACTTCTTTCTCATTAGGAAATGCACTAGGATTACAAAAGTACACTCTAGGGCTGAGTCAATTCGAATAATTCACTATTCGAATATTCGACCTTCAATTTGATCGAATATCTGATTATTCGGTCGTACCAACCGTCAGATTGTTGATGAACAAACCGTATATACAAAATCAATTGCAATCACTCACACATTTGAACATTATGATCAATACAATAGCTTCTCACATCTTGGAATATCTCCAGCCATGATTTAGCAAGATTTAAGACACGAACAAGACTTATAATAAGCCCTGTCGAAAATTCCATTCCTTCTAAATTAATTAACGAATAATTTACTTTTAAAACTGTTGTAAGATTTCTGACGCTTTTCATTTGAATCTGCTTGGAACAAGTCTCCATAGTGCAATGTTTCTCATTAAAACAAAAGAAAATTTTCCCTTACTTTTCATGAATTTTGCATTTGAATATTCAAACTCGAAAAATAACATTCAAATATTTGGTAATTCGGAACAGCCCTTGTACACTCATCTCTATTGCATCCCAAACTGCGATGGTGAATCCAATTTTATGAAGTGCGGTGTCCTGTCCCAACTGTGCTACAACAATGCCGACCAAACCCTTGAGCAAACAATTGTAATGCGAGCGATTCGCAATAGTGCGCCACCAAGAGTTTGCAACGCATTGGTCAATCATAACGTGTGAAATTTGTTGACCCTTTCCAAACGCGCATTGGGTCGACAAATTTCGCGCATTGTGATTGGCCAATGCTTTGCACACTCTCGGTGGCGCACTATTGTGAAACGACTGTATTGTAAAGCTGGTATTGGACAGGCAATGAGTAATACCAAAAGAGTGTCAAGGCGGAAGGGTGAACCAGCAATAAGCGAACTGGTGGTCCTGTTGGGCACCAGTTGCTGTCCCGTGCACCATCCATTTTCCTTGATGTGGTTTTTAGGGCTTGCGGGTGGCTGTATTTCGGTTGCCAAACATCAGACTTGAGAATGAGCAAGAGACAGGCACACTGTCTTGTAAAGGCTCAGATTGCAAATACCAACTCTTTCTAGTCATTTGTGAAATGAGCCCTATTTATTTGGTAAGTCTCACCATAACTTCAAACAATGCAACACTCGAGGGTCCTACCATAGAGCGATAATTGGCGCTATGCACGTCCTTCACAGATTGCCTGGACATGGTACACATGGCCAAGGTACATGCGTGTGCAACACTCTTAATGGGAAATGAGATGGGTGTGCGCCAACTGCTGAAGACTCAGGGAACGTTTGACAGTTTCACCTGTCAGCTACCTCCGTGACTGCCGATTTCCAGATCATGTTTAGGTGTCCTCCGTTAGCCCCATGAATGCGGCCCTTGTACTGGCCCATGTCGGGTGCCCTTGAAATCTGACGCAAGAAGTTCTACTTTCGTTTTTTAAAATGGCACCGCCTATGGTCAGCATGTAATACTGCAGGCCGGGTTTTTCAAGGCGCCATTCATCGGAAAATTTACAATTTTGGAAAGCTTTAGGGTGCTCGTATTAAAGTCCAAATTCTGAGGAATACGCCAGTGTAAGTAAAATTGTCAAGTCATCCTCATTTTGGAAGATATTAGGATTCAAAGTTTGTGACAATCCTGCCGTCATGGCAGTTTGGATTTCAGGCATTTATGACATGCCTTGAAGTAGGGCTGTGGTGGCGACAGATAAGAGACAGATTGTAAAAGAGAGCCACTACAGCCCTACGTGTGGGGCTAGCTAGCACCAGTAGCAATTTTTCTCCATAGGCGTGAGTGTGCGTTACTGCCAATAATAGCCAAATAATTCAGAGGCAGCTTATGGCCTGACCTGCACCACCAGCACAGACTACGGCCAGTGCAGGGCAAAAAACACTCCGTCATGTCCGTGTAAAATGTATGTGCTAGGCTAGACCTTTTGCAATTCCAAAGTCTTAACTGACTTTTTTAACCCCAGAGAATTTTTTTATTTCTTCCACAATGTCTACGGAAGTTGTTGGCCTATTGAACATGCTGAAAGTGACACGCTCAAAGGGATTTTTTTCAACATGTTCAACTTATTCAAAACAAATAAAGTCAGCAAAATTGGTCTGCCTCCCATTTCCTCAATTTACAACAGGGCCTATTACTATTTCTATTAGGCCTCGGCCTATATGTGTATTTCTCCCCATCAGCCCATGACTTGTTCACTCCTCGTTCATGGCATCATAATCATGATGGCTAACATGGCTAATGCCCATCACTTTTGCGGAAACAATAAAATAAACCTTGTGCGATGCACTCATCGTGCTCAGCTCAGTCACAGTAAACACGATAATCGGGCGGCGGTTTATTTCACAATTCATTTTAACGTCAGTTAAATTGAGTTAAAACCGATCCACTCGCGTACATCTCCGACAAAATCCCATTCCAATACATACGAAGGTCAGTGTTGGGATCGTCCCACACGTCGTCGTGAGTTGACTAAATAATATTTAAACCCTAATTTCTCCCTGTAAAAAACAACACCTTACACACGAAGACAGCACCCTTATTTGATATCCGTTTTCGCACAACCACAACAACGTGGCTGGAAAAATAAGGACCTAGTTACTTTGCTACTTACATTTTGGTGGAGGTTGTCGGTGGTTCCGCAGAAAAAAAAACAGTGAAGCGAATCGAACAAAGATGGCGAGATTGGTTATGACGTCATCGTAATCCGGGCACTGTGTCATCTGTGTATGTGGCGCGCTGGCGCTGGCGGCGGCCGAGACGTATCCAGCTCACCCGGCTACGGCTCGCAATAGCACACAAGCCTATAGGGAAATGGTTGCAGCCGCTTGTTACGGGTCTCCAAGGGCACTTGAGACCAAAGTGTCGCTGGTGCCCTACATACGGCTCTCCCACCGTTGATTCGGCACTAATTTTGGCCGGGAGCCGGGCGTGAGGTAAATCCCTAAGCGGGCTATTTTTATCTGATTACTGCTTGATCCGGAATTTCTGGAGGTTGTTACTCACTTAAATGTGACATGGCTGCGCACAGTCACGCGGTGTTCAGTCACATAGATCCCATTGAAAAAAAAGAATAATGGAAAGTGAGGAAGGAGAGAGTGGCTCTCACGGTTGGCGGCGCTTGGGGCTGGGATTAGGGTTATGCGAATTAAAAGTTTTAAAAGAAACAAAGTTAAACACAAAAAATGTACCAAAAGACTCAGTCTCGAATTCAGCCATGCTCTTTTTTTTTCAAAAGTAGGTGTATGCGGATGCTACTGTATTACTTCCAGTTCCACCTCCAGGAGCGTAAATCTGTGCCCGGCAGGGAAATAGGGGATCATGGGGGGGGGTGACTAACCGGGCCGTGAAAATTTGAAAGGGGAGGGTACTGACACCATATAGGCCCTAACACTATATAGGGGCGATGTTCATGACACAGATATACATCTGTAATTTTATTACACCCAGAACCTTACATACATCAAACTCGGTTTTTTTGTGGCTTGTTAAAAATTGTTCCAAGTTCCTTTTTGAGTGCTATGGAAATATTGGGAAATCCGAAAAATTCTTCATAATCCGCCTTATGTTTTGTTCACACCACAAAAATATGTGTGTTGGGGGGGAGTGATTCAATAGGCCACCCCTGGTCCGCAAAAAAAGTGTAAGGGGATACTATGGGCCACCATCCCTTCGAGATTACACCAATGAGTAGAAGAGAGCGTGTGACAATTGACCATCATCTCAAAATGAAAAGGGATGTATGAGAATTTCAAGGCTTTTCGCAATCGTCCACGCCCGCAGCTACCCCAACATCTTTGTGTTATTTCGATTTTCTACGAATTTCTTGAAAGAGACTAGAATCGCTACAAATTTGGCACAAATTTGTGGGCACATACGTCCTGGTGTAGGGCGTCAATAGTGGCAGAGTGACTTGGTAACTTTGAATTTATTTTCTCACGTTTGAGACAGCAGGGGTTTATCGATTTTTCAAGTAAAACCATTAAAAAATAATCAAAACAGAACAGAATAAAAGCATCTGTGTGAAAACTTTTTCTTTTCAGTCGAGTGTGATATTCATACATTTTGGTTTGTCTCGTGTGCTTTGGGATTATTCTTTGTAGAATTTTTGAAATTGAAATTTTGTGGCCGTTTCAGTAAGCACAATCTTTACGACTTCCACTACATTATAGTGGACCCCTGGGGGCGCTCTTCCAGAACCAAAACGTGCCATACGCAAAGAGAAGATAATTTACTAAAACAAAAAATTGAGGGGCACTTTATGGAAAACAACATGCAGAAAGTGTGGAATGGTTTGCGAATGATGAGTTGCTGTTCCAAGCCTATCAAATCCCATCAGCCTCCTATTTTATCACTTGACTATGCAAATGAGCTTAAATATTTTTTCTACAATAGGTTTGATTGTCACGACTTAACGAGTACGGATAGTGATATTTACGGATCATTCCATACAGGGACTAACTGTGATCCATTTTTAACTGTGACTCAGGATGAGGTTTGCCGACAAATGTCAGGGTTGAAACTGTCCAAGTCTGCTGGTCCAGACAAACTGCCCCCCCCCGTCTTCTCAAAAACTGTGCTAATCAATTGTCATATATATTTACTTATATATTTAATCTTTGTTTCACCACACAATCAATTCCGAATATTTGGAAGCGTCATGTAATATTCCAGTTCCTAAAAAGTCCGTGCTCACATGTAAAAATGATCTTTGACCAATTGCGTTAACCTCAGTAGTAATGAAGATATGCGAACGTTAGTGCTCTGAATTATTTGAAATCTCTCATTGCTGGCATGTGATCCATTTCAATTTGCATATACGAAGGGACGTAGTACTGAAGATGCAATTTTATTATGTTTGGATAAACTTTATTCTCACTTAGAATGTACAAAATACGGCAATTCTGCTCGTATTATGTATTTCGATTTTTCTTCTGCTTTCAATACAATGCAACCCCACATTTTGGCCCAGAAATTACTTGATATGTCAGTTGTTGTCCATACTGTTGTTGAATTCATTTTAAATTATTTGACTTGTTCACAATTTGTTCGTCTTATTAATTCCATCAATTTAGATGTTATTGTTTCTAGTTCTGGAGCTCCACAGGGTACGGTTTTAGCACCATTTCTTTTTACTGTGTGTACGGCAGACTTTCTTTCCACGGATGTGAGCTGTCCATTTGTAAAATATGCAGATGATACCGCCCTCATCGCTTTAATAAAAAAAAATAATGAGTCTATTTATATGGAGCAAATTGGTAGATTTGTAGAATACTTCAGAAGCAACTTCTTGGTATTGAATGTGGGGCAAAGACAAAAGAAATGTCGGTCGACTTTCGCAAAGTTTATAGGGTAGTGCCAGACCCGGTAATAATTGATGGATGTGAAATAGAACGTATTGATGAGTATACATATCTTGGAGTTGTTTTTAATAATAAGTTGGACTGGAGTAATCATGTTAGTCATTTGGGGAAGAAACTGAACTCGAGAATGTACTGCCTTAGGAAACTGAATTCATTTAATGTCAGAAAGGAACTTAAAAAGACTTTCTATATAACAGTTATTTGTAGTGTGTGGACCTACTGTCTGATTTGTTTCGGATATGTTGCGGACATGTTGCGGATAAGAAAGTGAAACAGATAATCGATGACATTGCCAAACGTGCTTGTTGGATAATTGGTGTGTGCTTACCGTCGGTGGACACAGTCTACGGTCAAGCTTCGGCTCGTGTGGGGAGATGCTGGTCATCCCCTTGACAGTGGGTTTGAGGTTAATATTATTCCACGCAGCGGTAGACTATGACCGGTGGGTGCACACACAAACCGATATCCTTCTTTTTTTATTACAGGAAGGGCCCTGAAGTATTTTAATGAGAATTTTAAAACATAATTTTTGTCTGATGGACTGTTTTCTGGTAAGAAGTACTTAAGAAATAAGGAGTGCTTATTTGTGTGTATGTTTTTTGTACGATTATTTAATTTTCAATTTAATTTTTAGGTTTTCATTTTTTGGGTAGTCTTTTAACTGGGTTGGAAATTATCTTATTTTTTTGGTTACGTTTATGTGAAATTGTTTGCTTAAATGAGCTGCGACAGCAATGAAATTTTCCAGTTTGGGATTTTAATAAAGTTTAGGCCTGTCTTATCTTTTCTTGATCAGGAAAATTATCGTGTAAAATAAACAGTCCCAAGTTGGCAATCTTATGTGTTTCATTAACCTCTTAAGAAAATCCCCCTCCTAAAAAGACCTAAGATACAGCATATAATTTTCAGGAAACTGTTGAACTGCGTCTAGTGTTGCTTAAACTTGCCAATGTGAAAGGTTCATGGGGGGGCCTTGAGGGGATTTTTCTCCATTGTTTTAGTTGAAGAAGAGCGAGTCGAAATTCCGACAGAGTATTTCCTGGGGTGGTTTCATTTAGAAAACAGTCTGCCAGAAATGTTGAAAAAGAGAGAGAAACCAGAACGAACAGAAAAGGACCCCAAAAGGCGGGCTGCGCGTGGGTTCGGGAAACTCCGGCCTCGTGACCTTTACTTTCAGGCTGCATGACTTTCACGTGATGTTCACTGGCGTTAAGAGAGGAAAACAATAGTTATATGGCCACTCAATTACAAAGGACGACAAAAACTCAGACAAAATTTCTTCAGCTTCTTTACTTCGAACTGCATTTGAGGCAACTTGCGTTACTTTCTTTTTTAAGTACACGTACTGATCTACAATGTAAAAACAACAATGTTAAAATCAACACTTTTTGGTGTTATCAGATGACCACACCCTAGGGTGTTACTTTAACACCGCTGGTGTTACTTTGTACACCTATAAGTGTTACAATGCACGGGAGGGTGTTAAAAATAAAACACCGGAATTTTTAACACCAGTGAAAGTATTGTAGTCCTCTGATAACACCGAGGGTGTTAAATTTAACACCCCAGTTTTTGCAGTGTAACAACATTCCACTTGCAACCGCCGTTCATTTTGTAGGCCTACACTTAGTGCATTCTGTGCCCAACTGCTAATACTTACGTCCCGTTAAAATTTCTAATTAATCAAAGGACACTGTTTATGAAAAGTAGCAAAATTAACAAGTAGCCGGAAACCTTCACTTTATTTAATTGGTATTAAATCGCTACTAGTGGTGGCCTGGGCCGCTTTATACAAGAAAACCGATACATATCTCAACACTGATACTTCCAAACCCTTTTTGTCGTTAAGTGCAATTATCTTGATACAACGTTATTCTAAAGAGATGTGCGGTTAGGCGACAAGAACATCCAGAGGTAACGTAAAAACAAAACAACCAGGTAAAAATCCGACTGTTGAAAGTGATAGACCTTGCTGTAAACCATCAAATTCTCACTTTTTCTTTTAAAAGCGGTAATTGCTGGTATTTCATGGATTCGTTTCATATGGCGTATTCCAGGAAGCAAGTCACAACCTTCCGATCTGAAATGGGCATACAGCAATGAAGGATTTTAATTAAAAACTTCAAAGATCAAACGAAATTCTAGATGGAGCGGTCACATAAATAACTTCCAATTTTGTGTCCGGAAAATATATAAATCACTGAAGAAGTGCTGCAATATAGTACCGAAATAGCTATTTTTTCCATGAAAGAAACATCATGAGTTGAGTGATTATTTTAACATCTTCGGTCAAAAGCTTAAGACATGCACAAAGTTAACAATAGCAACATTTCCGTTTGGGTTGGCTGACGTGAGGAACTAGAGCATATCTGCCTTTCATTTCGTGGATTTTTTATGCCTATGGCAGGGCAGCCGAATGGGCACGGATCCACGCGATAGTGGGCCCTTGTAATAAATCCGTCGCCACCTCTGGTCTGTTTCACGATTATTTTCCGTCAACCAGAAGCCCACTTCCTGGTATAAACCCACTATATACAGGGACATGAAGCTCTCAACATTACATGTATTTGATTGAAAAAAAAAACCCCGTGATTTTTCATAACGAAAGACAAAGTTCCTCTTGATTTGTTCGGGGGGGGGGATTTCCAAGTTTAGTTCTGTGGTTTGTAGTGTACTGAATTATTGATCCTTCTCGTGAGCTTATGAATACTCCAAAATGCTTCAATAACGCCCGTACATAAGAAATCCAGGGTTGGGCTGATGGTCATGAAATCTTTCTTGGCCCACAGCCGAGGTTAAGTTACGTTTGTGATTCGCAAGACCGTTTTGGGTTAAGCCGAGAACTGAAGTATTTCATTAATCCTATAGCTTCCAAATCCATTTCAACGACACCCCAGCATCATGTGCAACGTTCACGGATACACCGACAATGTGACATTATGAAAGAATTCCCGCCAAACCGTCCCTACACGCAGTTCTACGCACACATCAACCACATCTCGAAACTGCCCACGCATCTCGACACAAACGGATCACCACACATGGGCATCACTGTTTGAACATACACGCATTTGAAATCAAAATCAGCATGTTGCTTTCAACTGAGCATGGTCGTATTATATTCAAGAGGACAGATCTTATGAGCAACAGCTAAGTTGGCTACTGACTCAGAAGCGAGGAACAGGAAAGATGGAATCTTTCTACAGACTTGTCATAAAGTTGCCTTGTTTGCCAGGAAAGATTTCAAGAGTATCAGCAATCACATGACCGCAAATTTGGGCTGCAATACCATGTGTTATTTAAATACTGCATCACAAAAACAGTATGTTTGTGAAGAAATATGCTACCGGAGCAAGAAAGGATATCTAGAGTACCCAAATTTTACTTTTCACGAAGGCCATAAGGAAATAAAAACAGCTTTACGCAAATATGCCCCTAGATATCATACTGCATACTTACACAATGCTATAGCAATGAATTGGATTCAAAATTTAATCTACTGCGATGCAGTTTCGGTACTGTTTGAATATCGGCCACAAGACATCTTCAACAGAAGTGTCAAACTTTTTTCCATGATACAGAGTGACTCATGTGGAGATGTAACCAAAAAAAATTGTAATAAACAAAATTAACGTCATGAAAAATATCATCTGTAACAATTTAAAGTACATTAAAAAGCTGTAGGGAATCCTAACAGGATGACCAAGCTGGAATCCTAAATTGAAAATTTGATCTTTTCAAAATGTCAGGACGTTTGTCGACCTGTCAAAAAATGCAATATTCATTTTTTTGGCTCTAGTCTATCCGGTTCGTAAGTGACTTCGTCACAAAGGCCGACGCGCCACGATTCGCAGGCTCTCACTGGACAATCGCTGATGTTGCGCGTTAACTTCTGGTTTCATGGTTCCACGTTAACGGCGATCAATGCATGTAACCCTGTGTGCAGCGCACGTGTGCAGTGGGCGTGGTGTAAATTGAAGTGACGTCACACTTACAAACCGGATTAAAAAACGGAACGCACACACTCGGATCAAGAGTATACACCTGCTATGAATAATAAGAGTATATTCTCACTGACCCGCGGGTCGTACTCCTGCCGTTAGTGCACCCGGGAATATACTCATGGTAACAAGAGAAGCACGCTCGAACACACCCCTGGAGTGCACCAGTGAGCAGGCGTGACGTACATAGTGTGGACTTCTGCACAAAAGAAGTCCCCATGATGCAGGGTGCGATGTGTTGTGTGGACTTGCACACGTCTACACAATGTTTTCCCCTCTCTGAAAAACAGTTTCAGAGGCATTTAGGGCTCAAGGTTATTTTTGTGGCAAAATGAAGAGAATCGGTCCAGGGAATCATCATCAAAAATCCAGCTTGAAGGAGTTATGCAAGTAGGAGAAAAAGGAGCATTTACCTTAACCACAGGAGAACAAAGGAATGCCCACACTTCGTATGTAAAACTAGCGTGTGGGTGTGTTCGTGTGTGTTCAGCGGAGGATGAAAAGTTGGGCCAAAAATATGGAGCGCCATCCGAGGATAATTGCACCCTACTTCTGCTAAAAAAGCTAAACGTGCGAAATCAGAGCAGGCTCACAAAACTCAACAGGCTGAATACTAGCAAAAAAATTAAAAGAATAAGAAAATATTTCAAAATTGGCATCATTTCTTCTCTAAATAAATAGCACAATCACACAATTACCTGAATGACTTTCTCCACAAAAAAAGTTTGAGAATACAACAGTGAGATATATTGCATTTCTGTATATATACTTTTTGTAATTATAGGATGCATTTTTAAGTCTAATTATGTACACTTACCACAAACATAAAACTAGAAAAATAATTCTACAATTTTTTTGCTAGCAATATACTCTGTGCTTTACAAGACAAAAAAAAGCGAATACAGTTTTGAAATTTTTAGTTTGTCGAGCAGATGAACGCCAACTTACTTTTATAATTTGGTTAAACAGTTTCAATTACTTTACAGACGGCATCAGCGAATTCATTCCTTTCAAGCAAAGTGCTTCATCATATCAAATATTTTGTGAATGGCAAACCAAAAACTGCAGGCCGCAGCATTGTGTCTGAAATGATAGAATCACTTTGAATCAGTTGAAACTTGAACCATCAGCCTCGACCCAGCGGCACAGAGAAATGGGGGAATTGTGTCCATGAGCAAGGCACTCTTCTCTCGCTGCACAGGCTGGTTCTGCATGGTAAAGTGTTAGGGATTACTGTACCGACCCAAATCTCTTGCCAGTCGACAAAAATCTACGCAGCTGCTTGCCAGCACCAATTACACCGCTGAATATATTTTTATAAAAATAACATTCCACTAAGAGAACATCGTTGAATCATTATATTTAAACAAAACAGACCTGTAACTACGATAACTCAAGGCAATGATTATAAGAAAATGCAATGCATAAGTAGAGACATACCGGGCAGAGTAGAAGTTGGACACTGGACTTTGTGTAAAAATTTCTAGTGAATTATCTCTGAATACTTTAGTACCAAAGATATGGAACAAGCACTATTAATAGAATACAAGCTTTGGTGTTCAGTGTGCAAGAAGGTTCTCTCTGAATACACCCGAGTAAAAACCTCACTCTCAAAGCAAGTGAGTCCCCCATAAAACCACTCCAAATTAGAGAAAGTTCCACTCAGCCAAGGAGCCATATAAAGGGCAACTTGAGAAAGAGTTGTTTTGAGTTGAGTGATATTTTAGAGTAGGTTTTCACTCATTTGGAGCAGTTTTCACTCTTTTCGAGTGGATTTACAAGAGACTCACTCGTTGAGAGTGAGTTGCTCACTCTTTTGAGGTGTGAGTTGCTCACCGTTTTTAAGGAGTGAGCTGCTCACTCTTTTTGAGGAGTGAGTGCTCACTCCTTTGAGAGAGGGTCGCTCACTCTTTTTGAGAGCGAATTGCTCACTCTTTTTGAGGAGTGAGTTGCTCACTCTTTTGCCCTAAGAGAGTTATTGTTTATTGAAGTATGCTTTAGTGCCTATGCTGCTGTGTGCCCATGGTTCTGAGTGCTCCACTCTTGCAATGACTGCTTCCGTTTGTGCTCATTCAAATGAAAAACAATCAGGGGTGCACAATAATCAATTATCCTTTTGTAACTAGCAGCTTTGGTGGGTATGCCACACAATGCTCCATCTGTGAAATGCCAGGAGGTTGAAATGTTTGTTTTTCCCTCCCCCTACATACCAATTCCATAAAAACTTCTAGTTGCCCATTTCACAGTTTCATTAAAATTGCTGCAGCAATGCTAAAAGTATGGCGCCATAAAATAAAAAACATAAATTTACAGTTTGAAATAAAACAATAGAAATTGAGTTAAGTCAATCCAAAGAAAAGGTTTCTCTGGGATACTTGACCTTGAAGTTGTTATAAAATGCGAGATAAGCCATTAATCTTTATAAAAAATCGAAGAGCAAACAAAAAGTGCATACAGTTTCATTGTTAAGAGAAATTTGAACCACTTCGTGCTGGGGTGCCCGGTACCCGGTACCTTGCATTTGTATGCATAGCTGGGGTGCCGGAAATTGGACAAAGGAGCTTGGCCTTGTAACAAAGGTCCGTACCCGGAGCAAAAGACCCAGCTGCTGGGAATTGCCAACGTTTTTTCAGTTGTCAAGAGCGGAGGAAATCTGTTTTGGAAGAAATTGTTTTGAATGATTATACCACTGTTTATGGCATTCAGTGTGAGCGGATTACCACTGGGGACAAAAACGCTCCAGCGATGAGCGATACACTACAATACTGCTGCACGCTAATCTGGTCCGCATTTGAAAAGACGCCAGCAGCGTAACACCACACAATCTGGGTTCTCTTTACAAGGCTGCAGGCCTGGCTGAAATACTCGGATGTCAATAGGTGTTGTCTGTCACATTAGAGTAGCCACCAGACAGTCATTTGTGTGGGTGCAAACGTCCAGTAAATGAAGTCATGAATTCAAGAATTTTGAAAATGCTAAATCTTGAAAATCGCCCGGGATTACATCATGCAACTTCAAATCAAACCCGGCAGTATATGGTTAATGATGTTGAACAAAATATGAATAACATTGCAAAGTCCTTAAAAACTGAGGCACCACTTTGAGGTTTAGTACCAAAAACTGAGATAGCTCAGTAATTGGTACTAAAAAGTCCCCCCAAAATACTTGACTGTGTGTCTTTAACGCTGAGCATATTTTCTATGTACTTGCGGCGTATACTGGGCAACAATCTTTGATGGCGAGTATTTCTGAAATACTTGGGAAGCGTTTGACAAAACGGTGCATTCCAATTCACTCTAAAGTATTTGACAAGACTGCAATCCAATTACTACAATAGGGGCGTCTTTCCATGTGCACGTCTTTTGGGTGCGTTGCGTGTTCATGTGTTTCACTTTTACAGACACAAAAATCGACTCCTTGCGTAACACATGTACGTTGCGTTCGGCCATCGAAATCGCATTGGAAGCAATTTTGACGGATGCGCAAAGGTCGGTGCAAGTGTTGGCATGCATGTGGAAAGGCGCCTTCAGTCAGAAGTCAGGTCTGATGGAGAGCAACCTGCAGGAAGCAGCAATGGTGAAGACTGTATGACTTCACTAAATATTTGTCTTAAAGAGGAAAAGGTACTTTACTGGTACTTTACTTATTGGTACTTTACTTACTGGTACTTTACTTACTGGTACTTTACTCACTCGGAAAGTATTCCAACTGTGACTCTGTGCGTGTAACTCTCTGACTACAACTGTGCACTCCAATTTACCTAGGATCCATCAAAAAATGGCCATGACTGGAAGCTACCTTCTGGAGTTGGTACTGGTGGGGACGGCGTCGCCGCTTGTCTCGCCGCCGTTAGCGCCTCGCTTCCGGCTAGCCTTGCGAACGGCAAGCGTCAGGCACTGCACCCACTGCTCCGCCCCCTTGCCATCCCTGGTCTTGAAGACGTAGGTCTTGTCGGCGGTGAAGATCTCGAAAGCTCGGGGGATGCTGCGCTCATGGCGCCGGCCGGCGTGCACCGTCTTGACCCCCTGGACCTTGCTCAGTTCGATGGGCAGCACCGGCTTGCTCTGCTAGTTTTTGGAGAGGAGTGATAGAATAATCGTTCAGTTATCTTCTGCTAGCAGACACAGATTTTTCATTTCTGTGGAAGAAATATCATATACTTTCCTGGTTGTAAACTAAACACAAATATGGGCAGGTTAAAACATCGCAACTTAACGTTTGGAGCAACGTGGCATGGGCTACATCATCATATCCTTAACCCTAACACTCCTCAATCCTTCACCTGTTGGAGGACTGAGGAGTGTTAGGGTTAAATTCACTCAACAGCAAGTCATTTTTCTTTTCATAAGCCACAGCAGAATATATGAGCCAGAAATTGATAATTAAGGTCCTCAGAATGCTGAGATTCATAACAGTGAACGTTCTCACAATCATGTGATACTGACGAAAGTAAGTTATTTCAGAAGAGATTGACCTCTTCTTAAAAAAGGGAGGCATGAAAAATCTTTGCACTCCTAAACTTGGTATTACACCCCATCCTGTGATTATGTGCATCGGTGATGAAAAGACCCTTAAACTGACGCACTTACCGAGTTGCTTTTCGTGTAGAGTTGTTCCCCGGCTAATGTGAAGTAACGAGTTCTCCAGCGCTTGAAGAGCTTGAACCGGACTTTCTTCTCCTTGAGTTGACCTTCGATGAGTGGTTGACCTCCGGACACAAGGTCTGTACATGGAGGGAGAAAGAAATATGTGACTTCAAAAAGTGTGGTGTCAAACGAGTGGAGATTGAGGTTACTCTCATCAATTGCCTGGGCTTTGAGCCTAGTCTCTAGTCACTTAGGTCACTTCTTATTCTGTCCCGTCTAAAAGTACCACAAGTCAAATTTCACTGAATGCTTTGTAAGTTTTTAAGTCACTTTAGCCAAGTCCTAGCCCCTATGGTCAAGTCTCAGGATAGCCCGGTCAATTCTTAGGACCCTCCAGTATATTTTCAATTCAACCTGGTCAAGTATCAAGCTACTCATCCAGCCAAGTCTGAGCCACTCTAGTCAAGTCCTAAGTGACCTGGTAATTCGTGTGACACTCCAGTGAAGCATCAGGTCATCTTTAGTCAAGTCTCAAGCCACTCAATTGAAGTGTCAAATCATCTCTGGTCCAGTCTCTATCCACTCAAGTCAAATGCAAATCATCACTGGTCATGTCTCAAGCCACTCAAGTCACAAGCCACACTGTCTCTGCTCGAGTGAAGAATCTCAAGACAAGTGGGTAGGAAGGTCACTTTACCAAATTTATTGGGGTTGTTACAGATGAAACAGTTCCACACAGAGAGCTGAGAATTGTAAGTGAAGAGATCATAGAAGCTGCCCTTCTTCAGAACAGCGGTCAGAGCTTGTTGAACCTGTCAATATGACAAAGGCAGCACAAGATATAAAGATGTACTTCATGATTCGCAACAGGATGCATTTATTACTCCTAACGTTAAGAATCTATTTTGTTTGCATGGACTGCTATTCTTATATTCCGACTCTTTGACCTGGGTTCGAATCCAGTCAGTGCATTTTGTTGATTATGGTTGTTCAGTCCCTCTATTTTTGACAACTCTTAACAATAAAAAGGCATGGATTATTTTATCTCAACTGGCATGAAAGTTGCAGCATCTAATCGGTGCGCTTCAGAAAGTCAAACTTCCAGCAATGGATTTATATCCGAGTCACCAAACATTGAGACTGAGCCACCTCTACTTTGTCCAAGTCACCATATTGAGTGACCTCTACTGAGTCTAAATTACCCCCTGAGTCTGAGTCATCTCTACTAACCCTGAGTCACCTCTGAGTCTTGAGTCAAAACCTTCAGTCATGCGAGTCTGAGCTACGTCTGAGCTACCAGTCACAAAGATTCAGTCTCAGTATGACTCACACAAATACGAGTCATGAGTCATACCACTCAAGTTGACACGCACGTTGAGAACCATGCTACTGTGTGTCTGTTAATCATTTTCCAAGGGGTTCCTGTGTTCATCTCACCTTAGATGGTGGGAAATTTTGGGTGATGAGTTTGAGGAACGTCATGGTCCCTCCGACCGTCTTCTGCCGCTCCCAGTTCTTGCGTAGGCTCTGCACAGCTCTGTCGTCGAGAGACACGGGAGTGGGAGATGTAGCCTAAAGGGACGAAAAAGCAAACAAGAAACTGATGCATCAACTTTAACTCCATGCACAGCATCAGACATTTACCTTGAGAGTGGAAATGAGAGGGTTGTGACATTGAAGGACAACTGGTCGCACCTGAAGAGTATCCTCATATTTGTTCACATTTTTTTTCACATGCGGAGCCTCAAACACACACATCCATATTGAATATGACGAGTACAGCCTGACAACTTGCACTTGTGACTGGCCTGAATTGAACAAGAAAGTTTTTTGAGGTCTGTTTCATTTCCATCTCAGGGTCCCCCTCATGACCTTCCCAGATTTAGGGTTCTGGAGCAAAAAGTAAGTTTCGTTGGAGGAACAAGAACTTTATGCTATGAACTAATTGTGTTCAGACATTGAAGGTCTGTGAGTGGTTCGGACTTCAGAGACCGAGCCAGTAATGGAGATGAAGCTGAGATTTGAAGAAGCTCAGCTCTGCGATCGGAGACCCACTGACCTGCAGCTGGAGGAACTTCAGGTGAATCCAGGGCTGGATCTCCTTGGTCTCCACCATGAATGGAGCGGAGCTGTACAGGCAGTGCTGGCCTCTCTTCTGGCAGTAGAAATCCAGTCGGCCCACGGGATTCCGCCCGGAATTCTCTGCGAGTGGCAGGGGAGAGAGAGAAGAGTGTGGCACAGTCAAAGTCTATCCCAATCACAAGCTATTTGGATGAAGTGTGACAAGCATATTCCTTGGTCATGGTTCGCGGTGTTACTTGTGACTGGTCTGGCGAAGGGACTTGTGACTGGTCTGGCGAAGGGACTTGTGACCGGCCTTATGAAAGGACTTGTGGCTGGTCTTGCGAAAGGGCTTGGGGTGGACTCAACTACACAATACATAGCACAAGCGGGAAGAATTGATTTCATGGGTACCCCATCAGCTCTGAGCCCTTAAAAGATGATATTTAATGAATATTGAAAGCAGTCTATCTTGACCCCATACCTTCTCACATATTGTATGATTAAAGACAAAATAGAAGTATGTTAGGCAGTTGGGTTAATTATTTCACAGTTTAAAATACACTGTTAATGTTTTTCCCAGCAAAAGTGAGGTGGGTTTTCTTAATCTGCAAAATTCAAGTATATTCTGGAGAGAGGCCCTGAGGAAGTTCAGTTTCTTCCATCCATCTTTGGTGTTGCACATTTATTAAGGGTTTTGTTTTAACATAGCCAACAGCCAATGTTGGAACTGAATGCCTTGTATGGACAGAAAGAGCTCAAAACTGCTTCCCCAACTACAATTGGGCAAATTACGAAAATGAGAGGTTCTGAATAAGCAAATTTGGATTCTACCTCTGACAGAGCATTCATCAGGCACTGGTATCCTCTTTTTGATGGAGTCCATGTAGCTGATGATCTCCTTCTGTCTTTTAGATAGGTACTGTTGTAAGAAACTGTCCCGGTTCCCTCCGGCTGACCTTAGCGAGGAGGAAGCCTTAGCTGTCTCAAGGGGAGTAGGTCCTCTTGGCCCCTCAAACCCAGCCCTGATACCCTCCAAAGGCATCTGTCTGATTCCGTCAACCAAACTGGTCCTGACTGAGTCACTGCCGCTGCCTTCCAGTCCTGGTTGACCGCCTTCTGAAATGTGCATCCCACCGCTGCCACCGTTTTGGCCATTCCCAACAAGTCTGGAGTTTGCACCGCTGTTGATGATCAAGCTGCTGGGTCTGGAAGTCTCCTCTTGCTGGTTCCCCTTGATACCGCCCGCTGCTCCTTCCTTGTTGTTGATCCGACGCTGGACGTCCGATTTCTGCGAGGAGGATGGCGGAGCTGAGCTCTTCCCCTTGGTCTTGGTCAAAGTGGAGCTTGCCATCTGCAGACACGTCCGGCTGTCCGTGAGCTGGACTGCTTCGGAGTGGCTTTGCGACCTCAGTTTGATTTGCTTGAGGCTCTCGAGGTCCTTCATGGAACCTGGCTTCTCAGAGGGCATCAGGGCAGCCGAGGAGGTGGACGTGGTCAGCTTCTGGACGCTGCTGAGAAGATGGTCTACGGAACCTCTGTTAGAGGCCTTGCCCTTCCTGTAGTGCATCCTCCTTTCTGGCTCCACCCCCATCCGGTGCATCTCGGACATGCTCATGCTCTTGCTGGGTGTCAGTGGGGATGATGACACTTTGGCTGATTGCTGCGACTCGTCTGGTGTGGATGTTACGTCTTCACTTGGAGCCTCTTTTTCACTGATTACAAAGCAACAATGTACAAAAGAGAGACTTGAAATTCATTTGATAATTTTAAATGATTTTAAAAACCCTTTCTATTCTGAACCATCATGGTTACATTAAACAAACACCTCCGCTGACCACATGAAACTTTTCACAGCTTCTGACTTATGAATCCAGATATTCAAAAGGTCACAGGTCTCCAACGTTGAGACAGTAAGTGCATGACATGTATACAGCTAGAAGTCCTTACAGTATAACACCACATACCCCCAGAGATCAGAAGTATTTTATTGCATTCCAGTGGGAGTAACAACTCAAGAATGACCACTCTATTTAAACCTCAACTTGCACAAGTCCTGCATTCAATTTCTTACAAAATTCAGTAAAAAACACCATGATAATAAGTATAATAGAGTTTCAGCGAAGCCACGCCAAACAGAAAGTTTATTTAATGCAGCACCGTAGTCAAGACCATCATAAGATCATTTGTAGGACCAGACAAAGGACTAGTCAAAAGACCAGTCACAAGACTGGTCACAAGACCAGTCACAAGACAAGTCAAAAGACCAGTCACAAGACGAGTCACAACGCCAGTCACAAGACTAGACACAAGACCAGTCACAAGACCAGTCACAAGTAACAATGTGAACAATGACAAAGGAATCCGTTTGTTGCAGTTCATTTCAATCGCTAGTGACTGGAATTCAGACGGGAAGCCTTGTGATGGTCTTAAGAGGTCTTGGTAACAACACCAATAAATCCTGACAGTATTTCACAAAAAGCAGAAAATCCCGAATCCCAAATCTCACCACTGCCATTTGGTGACCAACTAGTTTCCCTGGTAAATGTCAACACAAAATACATGCTGGGTACTAGGCGAAATCAACCTGTGATTAACAAATGGTTGTCGCTAAAACATGCCTATAGGGGGTTTGCATGGCTGCCATCTTGTAGGCTAGTGCTTTTGTTCCACAAAATATGCACAAAGTGGTTTCCCTGTGGAACAAAATAATTGTTCTACAAGATGGCTACCATGCAAAGCCTTTATACCTGTATGTCATGTCCTGCTGTAGTTGTTGGATGATCATCCGGGCAGCCATGGAGGGGCTCTCCCCTTGCAGGGAGATCTCAGCGATGTGGGTGCCCAGGAGGCCGGTGTGCTGGTCGGCGATGCTCTTTATTTCGATCAGGACGGCCGGCAGGGAGGTCTGGTCGATGATGCTGAGCTGTTCCACCAGGAAGGCCATGCACTCCTTCCCGCTGACCTGCAGAACAGGTTAGACAATTGTGTGCCTGAGCAGTTTGTGAGGGGTGCCAGTTGGATTCTTGATCAGAACCTAAAAATGAGGCTGGGGGGGCTCTAAAAATGCTCTTAAAGCTTTAAATTATTCCAGTATTTCAAATGAAAAAGTCTAAAAATCAACCTTCCAACTGAACACTATCATTCCCTGTTTTGTGAGTGTGAGAGAAGGATCCCGTTACCTGGTTGAGTCGACCCACGGCTCCAAAGATCTTCAGGGCCATGCTAAGCAGCGACGGCTGGCGGCTGATGGCATCCTCCAGGTCTCTAAGGCAGGAGGCAAAGGGTCGGGCATCCAGGGACACCAAATCCACCAAGGCGGCCAGTACTGTCTGGGAGGAGTTGGGGATGGCCAGGCAATGGACAAGCAATGACACATGGCCCAAGAGCAGCTGGCAGGTGGGGAAGAAAAGAGGGTGTTTGCTGGGGGCTGTGTTTTTCGGAACTACTAACCAGAAACATGTTTATGATATCAAAGCAATAACTAGGAACATGGTTATGGTGGCCCGTAAAACTCCGACCCAGAAATGCTTACCTAATCCGGGAGAGATAAAGTACAAAGTAGGTGGCAGGTAGAAATGAAACCTTTTTGGGCTGGTTCACATGGAGTATTATGACACATTTCGACCCACTGCGAGCAGTGAAGAGCTTTCACTGTTGAAGAGAGTCGATGTAATGCAGTAGTGTTGTCACAAATAACCTCTTTTTGGAGCTTGAAAGATTTACTTTCTCTGGCTTCTTCAATCTTTTATTCTCTATTTTCTGTGAAGCTGTGGAGCGTGGCTAAGTGGATCAGATTTGTAACACCTGACCAGAGGGGAAGTGGTTCGATTCCAGCAGCTGGTCGCAGGTTGTGTCCTTGAGCAAGGCACATTGCCTCTCTCCACCCAGGAGCAGAAATGAGTACCAGGAATCATCGATGGACTGTCATACTATCTGGGTAGAAATGGAAATATTCTTGGCTGTTTCATGCCAAAGAAATTAGAGATAAACATCGGTCCGATGAGTCTGGTAGGCCGTGGAATAAACCTGAGTGCACCGTCACGTACCTTTGGGTGTTGCTTGGCAACCAGGCTGACGAGCTGGAGGAGATGGGCCTTCTCCGTGTCGTCGCAGCGAGGCAAGGTGTAGAGCAGCTCGTTGATGTTGGCGTTGATGGGGCCGGGCTTCTCCAAGTAGACCTGGGGAAGGATACGTGCTAGCGACCGGTTTCCTGTGAATGAAAAGGGCATTTCGATAGGAGAAACAAATCATCGCTTTTCGATTTCAACGGCATGAGTGTGAAGTGAAAACCGAGGACATCAGCTGGATCCGAGGAAAAGTTGCATGCCTCATACTTGGTGCATTTTTGTATCCACGAGGTAAAACTCTTAACTTTCACAGTTGAAAAGCTTACATCTAAATGTTTCTACACCCTACAAGAATACAGATGGTGTAACTATGTGTCAGACTATCAAGGTCATTTTCTGTGCTCAGTGCCTAGATGTCACTTTTTGACAGCTGAAATCATTCCATTGGTCGTCAGTATTTGAAATATGCATACACTCACTTGTCAGTTTGAAAAATACCAATTATCAATTAACACAAGTTTTGCAAACTGTCCACACGTTAAAACTTGCGTTTCAGTTCATGGGGTGGCTTTAGGCACCGTCGATACCTTTTTTTGGCTTATGCCGATATACCTGTGAATGGCGATTTGCTCGCTGTTGGTTATGGAAACAAAATAAAATAAATAAATAAATAAATAAATATCACTTTTCATTATCGATATTATCGATATTAAAAGTTTTATTCATTTCAATTTTCAAGGTATTATAACAGGTGTGAATTGCTAGTAAACTGTTCTAAGGATACATCCCTACAACGTAATGGTGTGATCCAATTCACTTTGGCGACATGTTCTAACGTCCATATTGTGTACGTTGCCGACATGGGATGGGATACACGCTGCCGTGCATAGCGATATCATCAGCACGTGGTGCTAGTCTACGTTCGTTTGGTTAGCAAATAATTCTCAGTCTTGGAGGATAATTTTGTGATATTTTCCAGGCAAAGTGTTAGCAAATTACGGAATGCAAGACTGAGATAGGTGACTGAATTTCTTCTTCAAATGTCACCATAAAGCCACCCGGAGTATAAGCAACAGGGACTTTTTTCACGCAGCATGAGAACCAACATAGGCCGTGGCTTATCAAAAATTACGGTCATGTGATGACGCACTTTCATATCTTTTTAAAATAAAGTTTAATCCTCAGTAGCGATATATATAATATATTTTTCAATGTCGATGTTGTCAAAGTTTTGATATTTTCGATATTTCTCCAAAATCCCATATTTTCGATATATCCATATTACCAAATAACTAACATGGGCGATATTGATGTCAAACCTACCGGTATATCAATAATATTGATATATCAATCTATCAACAGTGCTTGGGTGGCTTGTGCAACAGTTTGAACTGACGAAAGGAATATGGAGACCGTACAGCAGCCGGGGGGGAGGGGAGAAGGGTGTAATGTGGCAGTGAACCATGAGCAAATTCAGGGTATTGTTAGAAGTGTAATCAGGAGAGCAAATGAATTGTAACTCCAAAGTTAGGCCAGTGAATATAGATTGTAGACGTAGAGTTGAGATTGTGAACAGATTCATAAATTCCTGACATCTGAGGAGTTTGGCTTTCCGACCAGTGGGCAATGACGGGGTCGGCACTCACCCCGTATGATGCTGTCTATGATGTCATCGCAGTGCAGCGCCAAGAGGCTGGCGTTGTCGATGGCGGCCAGGGCCAGGTAGCTGGACATGTTCCGACTGATCTCGCGGTTTTCGTGCTTCAGGAACTGCACGGCCACGGGCAGCACGATCTTCATGACTGAGTACTTGCTGTAGTTTTGCTGCGCAGAGAGGGAAAAAAATCCAGATTGCAGAGGCACTTGTATGATGGTCAAAGGGTTCAACTGAATCTGACACGGATAACTTTAATAGTAGGCAGCATTTATAAGACGTAATTATTTTTGTGTTGGGGGGTTGCCAATTTTTATGTTGACATCTCTCATAAAAACACCCAACATGAATATCAACATCTTCCGACACAACAAATTACATCTCGGAAACATTCAGTGTGGTACCCATTTCTCATTTGACACAAATCGGCCAGCCGACCCTGGCAACCTCAGTGATCGAATGGCAAGATGTCTATACGTAGTAAGTAGGAAGGGCGTAGGTCTGATCAAAGGCCCCCGGCTTCGCCCGAGCGCAGCCCAACTTTCCAATGCCGTTCATTTTCACTCCCTTACCATGAAGAGGCAGCTCATGATGTCGGAGGCGATCTTGGCATGGGGCGGGTCCTCATCCCTGGCCAGGGGCTTCAGGTTGTGCTGTAGGCAGGATCTCCAGAGCAAGACCAGTGCGGGGGCGTGCTGCTCAATCGTGCCTGTGTCCCTATATAAGTGCGGAGAAAGGAACAACAGAGGTTTAACAAGGAGACCTTCCGTAACTCGTCGGTATGGATTTGTGAGATTCAAGAAGCAGAAAGTATCATTGGCGGCATAAATGTGACTTATGAGTATTATACATGATCAGGTATAGAAATACAGGTGCATTTTCTGCCGTTAACTTTTAGGGGGACTGGTTCCCAGTGCTCGGCAGACTAATGACTAGACCACTAGACTTGCGTGATCGTGAGCTGCACACAACCAACATCAAATTCAGCCGGCATGGTCCAGCCCCCGACAGTGAACCGCCTCGTCACCTGATCGCGGTGGTCACTCGGGTGATGCAGATCTCCACCACTGCCTGGTCATTGTGGTTCTCCAGGTAGTCCGGCAGGGAGGAGATGGTTTTGATGTGGCCCAGGGCCTCTGACAGGTCGTCCACAATGTCGGCGTCAGGAATGGAGAAGAGGTCGCCGGCCCGGGACAGGTCCCGCTGTGAGAGGATCAGGGCAAACAGCTTATGCATGGTGCCAGGCGGGTATCGTCTACGAAGGTAGGGACTTCATCAGGCTGTCTTCTGTTAGCAATATTAAATGTTCACAAATAATTAACGCATTCTGAAACTAACTAACACATGGTGCATGGAACACATGGTGCACAAACCCTATGGGACTGATCTGAAATATTGTAAGTGTTCAATATTTACCCAGCTAAACTGGACTTTTTGGAGAATATTCACACTCCCCAACAGCAGATACATACATCTGTACATGTATGATACCGCACAGAAAAATTCAAGATGTCCATATAGAATTCTTACCAAAAGGAAAACCAAAAAGAACTACTTTTATTCACGCATATGTAGAACTGTGAAGCATCCAATAAGCTAAGCTGAACTTCACAAGACAAAACAAAAACAGTTACTGGAAACACAAGCTCAATTGCAGAATATCCCGTCACCCAGCATGATCAACCTCATAGCCTGGTACAGGTCAAAGTGTCTTCTCAAGGGATTTTCACCTTCTACCCATGTAACCAGTTACTGCAATTACTCCGAAAAACAAACAGAAATGGCAGTGTTCATTTTTCTGAAGTGTTTCAACCAGTTAGAATTCCTCCAAACTGCAAATGCTCATGAAATGAAAATCCTTATAATCAGCTCTCTGAGAAGGAAATCAAAGGGGTGGGGCACAAAATAACCAAGCGTACCATAACTTTTTCAGCATGTTGGGGGAAGTGCCAATAAATGGTTGGTTCACAGTCAAACATCCGCTTTGTATAAAATTACAACTGCAAATTTCCCCATACTATGAGGTGACTAATACCATGACTCTCTGAGTCCGTGCCTCAACCCTAAAAAAGCTAAAAACCAGCTAGTGGGTTTTCCGAAGACTTCCAAACTGAAAAACAGGCCTGGGCCTAATGTTATGCCTTCAACTTCAAGTTCAACATGTTCAAAATCCAACATGTCCAAGTGTCAAAATGAATTCCAGTGGAAGAGGAACAGGTCAGAATTTTAATATGAATGTTAACTGGTGGTCAATAACAGTAACCATGGTAACACTTTATCAATTTATAAAGTTGCTGACCGTCTGTACACGTTTAGCAGAACATTTTAGTCATGAACGCTATGGCTATGTCTAGGAGTAGGTCTACGTTGGCAAAGTGTCTGCCAGCCTACGTCTAGTCTACGACCTGCCTAGTGCCATATCAAAACGCTCAAGTCACACCCAGCCGGCCTATTACTGGCTAACTTGCGTCAGGAATCATTTAAGATGCACTCCCCTCAAACCAATACACGAGTTTAAGAAGTACTCACAAGTTTTGCACACTCTGAAGTGTTAAATTTGAACACGAAACTCGTCCACCAAGTCAACCATGTCAAATACTTTCACGTCGGACTTCCAATTTCCGACAACTCCCTGCTACGACGAGCAATGCCATGTTTACTTGTAAAAATGACAGAGCGCTTGCAGGACGCCCTCTCTCGTTGCGCAGTAAATGGCTCGACAAGACTTCGGGAGTTACAAAAGTTCCCAAGTTTTTTTGTTTAAATTTGGAGTAAGATTTATCACACAAGTTGCACGCCAAAAATAAATACTCATACAAGAATGAAGGTTATATAACTTTATTACTTTACGGTAACTTTTTCTTAAATGTCAAATAAACCACGGAGGTATAGAAAACAGAGAGTTCAAATACGTACTGGCTTCTTGATAAACTGGCCATTTCGTCAAAATGTCATTTTTAAAGCTGATAAAATGGGCTTACTAACCGATCACATATCGCCTACAGGGTAAGCAGGCGACACCATCATTTCTATTCGCGCAATTTCCCAAAGACTCGACTGTTGGTTCATCGTTCTGATCATTAATCCACCATCTGGTGCTCAGTGCTCCAATGGAACTTTTGAAGATCGGGCAAAAATGTTTTTAATTCTCTCGTTTTGGGTGATTCTACTCTGTTTTGGTAAATTCAGTGGGTTGGGGGACTGCTGAGTAGGGCCTGCATTTAAGGGGAGCTTAAAAAGTCGGCACTATATGCCTCCGTACATTGTGGAATGAAGTTAGCTAGGTCTCGAGCATATGTGATCAAGGCGGCCGGGTCAGGCAAGCTGGACTCTGCTATGCTGACCAAAACAGAGTCGACCCCATTATTTGCATTTTTCAAGTCGTGCCACTTAGCTAAAGAAGTTTTCTTTTTTGCTTTTGACAAGCTCTTCTTTAAATCTGACGTCCTCATCACCTGTTTTGGAAGTATTTGATTTTTTTCACTTGCAAGAATGAAGACGTAACAGACAACGGGGACAGTCTTAGCTTTGGAATGATACACAAAAACGCATAAGTGACTTCTTGCACAAGGTAAACAGATTTTTGCCGTTTCCATTTTTGGTGAGTTTTATTCTGAAGCAACTTCCAGTCAGTCCCTTTAGAATGCATCAGTAAAATAACTGAACCAAGTTCTAAATTTGTTACAATAAGCTACTCCTCACTTGAGATCTTGATGAATGCATAAAACTCTTCAACAAAAGAAATATTTGATGCCTCAACTAAAACAAAGACATACAATTTGGCAAAACTAAATAAACTGAAATTCACTTCACATCTTGTGACTTTTGAAATACAAATCAAATGAGCTGGATTCATGAGAAATCATACGTCATAATTCTGCCCAAAATATTGTGTCTGTCAAATAGAATTGTTACATTTGAAATCACACACAATCATTTTGCTTTTGCAGGCCTTGAAAAAACAAGCAATTTAGGGGAACGACTACACTACTAGACACCGGACGCATTTTTAGATTTTGAATTTCACTTTACATTGTGTTCAAAACCCTTGTAAGAAAAGGCAAGTGAAAGAAAGAAAGTTTGGCCCTCTTCGCCTTCTTTTTCGAATTTTTTTTTCAACAATCAGTTCAAGAGAAGCTTTATGCCGCAAATGCATCATCGAGTAAAAAAAAAATTCATTTCCAAACTGGACTCCAAATACTCGACAATTCAATTCAATTCAATTCCAAAACAAACAAACAAACGAATACAAAAATGCCACACAAAACCCAAGTACGAAAAGAACTAGCCTGCAAAACAAGGAGGTGGCACTTTCTGCAACTGAACTCCACACATCTTGCCACTTCTTTTCTAGAAAATCTAGCGTGTGTGTGTTTGTTTCTTGTGCAAAGAATTCACTAAACTGTCACTCAGAACATGTAACGTCAGGAAAAAGTGGAAGAACAGATGATTCAAGTAGATTTCAATTTATATTTACGTACAGGCAACTGAACACAGCGTTTTCTTTATTCAATACGTTTACTCCCATCTGTTTGAGAACCATCGAATGGTGGAACGTTAACGCCTGGTTACTGCAGGGCGAACGTTGTGACGAATATATTCAGGTTAATATACTCTCAGGGACACTTTTGTAATGTGGGCCCAACGGCTGTGCCGAAGGCTGGGCAGTTGTTTGCCGAGCTGTCTCGACCCGAGCGTATACTCCCGCCTAACGTTGCTTCACTGGATGGTCTGCAGGTGGCGCCTTGCTGAGCGTGTGTGTCGGAGCTCCTCTTCTTCTCGGTCAGGGCTCGCGACTGGTGTATGTGAACTGCAAAACTGACGCCCTGGAAATTACATTGAAACAAATGCACCTGGCTTTGCATGGGAGCCATCTTGCGGGGCAGTTCTTTTGCTCCACAGGGAAACCTCCTTTGTACATACCCCGTGGAACAAAAGCACTGGCCTGCAAGATGGCTACTGTGCAAAGCCTCTATTATATTTTTCTTCACATAAAGGTGTTGAATGCATCTTACCCCAACAAAGACAATTTGCCGGGTTGGAGTTTGAAACGTGGTCCTTAGGCAATCTTGGGCAGAACTGCTACCAATGTTGTAATCGAGACCTTCACAAGACCACACGAGACCAGCACAAGACCTCCAGTCTGAATTCAAGCCACAAGCTATTCAAATGAACTGCAACAAAAGCATGCCTTTGTCATTGTTCACCCTGTTACTTGTGACTGGTCTTGTGTCTGGTCTTGTGTCTGGCCTTGTGATGGTCTCAACTACAACACTGACTGCTACTGACCAAATAGGGGCACAGAAGACCCAGTGGTTAGGGTTTATGACCCATGACCTGAGGGGGTTCGAATCCAGCTGCTGGCCATAGGTTGTGGCCTCGGGCAAGCCACTTTACCCCAACCAGGGGCCATTTACCCAGGGATGTGCAACTTAAGCTCAGAGCTGGTTCAATGCGTGTTACGGCCGGCACAATATCAAAGCAGAAATTAAATTGGATTATGTAACACTGTCTCTAATAATAAAACATATATTCCTGTCTACCACTTTGTTTTCTTGTAATATTTTAAGTCAGGGTACACCCTTTCTAAAAATATGCTGCTCAAGATATTTCATCCTATACATTCTGAGAAAAGTGTACCAGAAAATTGGGGAATTTTGCCTCATTAAAACTTCGTTTCTGCTTGAAATCGATAAATGAAGAAGATTTATTCATTGAAACTAATAGATTTAAGCACTGCGTCGTCTCGGCGTAACCACGGCTGCACTGTACATGCTGCATGCTGCAACGCGTGTCATGTGGTCGCAAGTTTTTTCGAGAAAGTCGAGAGCGCCCGCAGGGGTAATAACAGTCCGTAACACGCATGAAACCAAGGTCGCACATGTGTTTGCACTGGGGCCGCTCGCAGTTGCACATCCCTTGGTAAATGGTCCGTGCCCTAACTTGCCGTGAGTAGAAATGGATTGAGGCATTAGCTGGGGAGCAACCGGCGATGGAATGGTATCCCATCCAGGGAGGAATAGAAATATTCTTGGCCATATTTTTTTTTTTTTTGGCCAATGAACAGAGGTAAACTCCAGCAGAATGAGTCAAACGGCTCGACAAATCCAGCTCCTCTTTCGATGCAGTCGCTCACCAGCATGAGACCCTCACAATTGATGACCACAGCGTGTGTGTGACTGAATGGGAGAATACGATCTGTTTCATTCCTACGGTTGTGCAGTTGTTGATAACTGATGACCTATCTAATGATCTACCTTATTTCCTGTTGCTCGCACAAAGCCGACGTTTGCCGTGGTGGTGATGGCCTTCATTTTGTCGCCGGTACCAAAGATCACCTGATTGTTAACCAGAAATACAAGATACCTTAAGTATTAGCATGACCATTTCCCAACAAACCATGTCGAGCCACAAAGCTGAGGGAACTGGTAGCCCATGTCCACGGGCAAGCCACTTTACCACAGTAGAAGCAGTGACATAACCGGGGTGAACATTCTAAGGGGTCACCTCATATTAAGCTAAGCTCATACGTGCATTTTTGTATATGTCAAGATTTCAAATGGAACAGGCGAAGGGAAGGGGTTAATTTCCTGGCAAGCACCTCCCCCTTGAGACGTCCAAGAACATACGTGTAACAATTTTTTTTGGGGGGGGGAAGCAGAGCCCATGTCTGAATCAAATGGCCGTGGCTATCACTAACACTTGTGTCTATGGGAAGTGGCTGCAAGCCGCCAGCCAGTGGCTTCCATAAGCACATATTTTATTAAGTGCCATAGCCATAAGTTTTGGACACTGCCTGACCTGGGAAAAGAGGGGGGGGGGAGCAGGAAAGGAAGATTTCACTTTAGCACCTTGGCCCTGTGCTTGATCCGGTGGCTCTCTTCCAGCTGGCTAGCCCGATCTGATGGGTTGTCCTCTACCAGGGTGATTCGTGCAAGTAATTGCTGGGCACGCTCCCGTTCCTGCGGCCCGGCAATGGTGGCGAGGATTTTTTGGAAGTCGTTGATTGCTGTCTGGCACGCGTAGAGTTCTTTGTCTGCCCAGATATGTAAAGGATAAGATTAAGCTCTTGATTCGTAAGGACTACAAAATCATACACCTCAATCAACGGGGCAGCCATCTTGCTTTTCTACCATTCAAGGAATGTAACCAAACTGAGGCTGGAAGGAAAATTAGTCTGTTCCCTTTTATCAATATGTGAAGTTGTATGACTATTGCCAAAGGGTATACAGGGAACAAGACAAACATGGCAACATCGTGATTAAGGTCTACATGGACGTCCAAAACACCTCCAAGACAGTGCTGTAGTAAAGTCCCTAAAAATCTTTCATAACTTGTCCAGTCTTAAGCCAAGTCACAAGCCCTCCAACTAAACTGCGACAAAAAGCATTCCATGCTCATGATAAGTCTAGCTAAAAGGTCCTGTGGCCGGTGTTGTGACAGGACCAGAAAAAGAGACTTGTGGTAAACTCGACAACGATCTCGCTCCAGGAAAGTACACTTGGTTTGGTACTGGACCCGAGCATAGAATGTTACTGAGAATATGCTGAGCAAATATGTGAAATGAACAGATATTCAATTGAAAGGGAAAAAAAGTCATGTTGGGGACAATGGGGAGTCAGGTCGGCGTAGTGGATCTTCCCTTGCCATCCACCTTTGTGGTCTGGGTTCGAATCCCGGCCCGGTCCACATGTGGTTTGGGTTATAAGTCCCTACCTGATTCTGCGGGTTTTACCCAGAAAATTCCTCTGGGGGTTTCCTCCCACCTCTAAAACTGTAACTGCTTCTCACTGTCTCCTCTCTACAGGTTTCTTCAGGCTTGCGAGCTACAGTACCTAGGGCGCTTTTGAGGAATCTTTGGAGTCATTACCAGAAATGATTACTAATAATCATAATAAAAGATGACCGAATGGGTTGTTGATATTTTACACCTGGGATCTGAGAAACTCATGCATTTAGTTTCTGTTTTTGTCACTGCAAGCCTTGAAGTAGGCAAGAGTTTCTCGAAACTGTGGCCAGAGTCAAAGTGCCAGTCTGCCAACAATTTGGCCCGAGTTTGTTGCCGTTATTTGTATCTGAATCTGTGTATTCTCCTGATTTTGGCACCACCTTGCAAGAACTGCTCCATCTCTCCCACCACGGGCTGCTCTCTTTCCTGCTGGGCCAACTCCTGGATGAGAGGCTCGGCGAAGGAATGCCAGCAGCCGCCGTGCGTCAGGTCCGAGACCAGCGCTACCAGGGTGGTCACGTCCAGATTCACCTTACGGTTGTCCTCCTCGCTTGATTGGCTGGCCAGCATATCCTGTCAACATTTAAAGGGTCCCTTGGATGACTTTTTTCTCAGACACACTTTTGTGGACCATCAAATTGACCATTTAGAACCAGACGCTGGGGCACAGTTGCACCTCCGACCGCACCTACTGATGGGGAACCATCCCCATGAAAATAATTGTACAAGAAGTCACTGACCACGAACGCCGTGAGAAGGGCGTGCGAGTGACCACTGTCATTCCACTGTCATCACTATGATGCACATGCGCCTTATTAACAAGCAATAAAACTTGACTATTGGTCAAACTATACACTTGCTTGTTGATGGATCTTGAAAAGCCCCCCTTCTATTCCTAGGGTTCCCCTCTGGCAAAGTTATCCATTCTGACTTACCATCTGAGACTCTGTTATCATTGGCATCTGTAATGTTGCCTTTTGGCTCTCTGCGACCGTCGAGAAGACCTGACCGTGTGCCTTGATGCCAAGCTCGGCCAGGTCATCTGCATTCGGACCAAACACAGAGCAAGTGATTTGCATGAGATGGCACACTTTCAACCACTTGCAGCGGTGATCAATTTAAGCAGAAAAAGTTCGGCATTCAAAAAAGACAAGGTTGTAGTGGGCAACTTTTTTGTACACAAGCACAGCCAAGAGCTGATATGCTGCATTTCGTTGAACAGTTATCTGCAAAATGTTTCAATGCAACCTCAAAATCTCCAACACTCTGGGCAAAGGAATATCGTGGGGGGGGGGAGGAAGCAATGAGAGCCATGGCCCCCTATAAGAAAACTGCAAAACTTGTTTAAATCATGACGGAAAGCATGTAATAAGTCCCCAAAAGTAGCCACACCCCTCAGAGAGGCCACAAAAAGTTACATGAAAAAAAATCCCCCATTTTTGCCCACCCCAAATGGTTTGGCCTCACCGCCCCCCCCCAAAAAAATTTGGTCAGTTCATCCGGAGATCTGACAAGGATGCCTCAAGAATTTGGGTTGATGTCGGGAAAAATCGAGACTGCCGCCTCACCGACTATGGCTTGGGTGACGCCGCTGTAGAAGACCACGTGAACAGCAGGTGGCTGGTAGTTGATCGGGTGTTGCTGGCTGGCTCGGAGATACTGCTTGGCCTGTTCCACAATGTCATGTTCTCCGTATTCCCCCTCCTCTGAGAGAGAAAAATTAGCCAAAGACCAAATAGACGGCAATTACTTTCCGACATTATGCACGATGCCCTGGTTTGGGTGGGTTTTGCAATTTTTTTTTTAAATATCCGACGCTTTTTGACTGATAAGTACACCCTCGAAAATTGGAAGTAAGACCAGTGTTTTCCCATGTTCCGTGCCAAGTTCTAGCCTTGTAGGCCATTACTTTCAATCAAGCCCACACCTAAAACCAAACCTAAATCCTGCACCTAAAACCCAAAACCCCACACTCAAAAAACCCACACCCAAAACCCTTATCATCAAATCCTTCCACTCCCAAATCAAAGCCCAAAACCCACCACCAAACCGATTTTCACATCCAAAAACTGCTACTCAAACTCAACTTACTCTCAAAACCCAAACCCCCCACACCCGGGCCCAACCCACACCCAAGACTAAAATGCCAAAATCTGCAAACCAAGCCCACAACCACATCCCTGCCTTGTGGGCTGTCACTTTAACTCAACACAGACCTCAAATCAAGAAAAAACAAACAAACCTGAAAATCCAAGCCTAAACTCTAAACCCAACACCTGAGCCCAACGCCAACACTTAAAACCCGAACTCAACCTAAACCCAAAACCAAATGCCAAAGCCTAAACTACGTCCAAAACTCAAAACCAACCAAACTCCAAACGCCTAGCCCGGTACCTTCCCATTTCCGGTGCAGCGCCCTGGCCTTACGGGCCGTCACTTTCACCCAGGCTGCCCCACCCCGTGCCACCGAGTCCACCACCACGGTGCCCTCCTGGCCCTCGTCGGCCTCGTAATGGAAGGGGAGGAGCACGCCCAGGACCCGGCCGAAGGACTCGGCGCTGTGCAGGACGCCCTCTAGGTGGCTTAGGTTGGTGCTCTTCAGCTGGTTCCCCTTGAGAGCCACGCTGTCGTTCTGCAGCTTTAAGTAGGGTAAAAGCACAACAAAAGTGACAAACAAATCATTACGACTTTTGCAAGTTAAGATTGAATAAACTCTGGTTCACTGAGTTACCGGTCTCTGGTTGCACATAAACATAACAATCTGAATTCCCCAGACTAACAACACTGTTGCTATACCTCGTGATTCGGGGCAAGCTTTTGCATAGCGACCACCATCTCTGGAATAGACTGGTTCCTTTGTGCCCTTCTTATCCATTGACAACAGTGCATTGGTGCAAGGCATCTCTTATGTAACTAAGCAAAAGCTTAGTGTAGCAACAGTGTCTTTAGTATGGAGAATTCAAATTGTTATGTTCACGTGAATTTTAAGAACTTCAGGGTACCAAATTTTATTCAAATTTAACTCGGAAAAGGCCGAACCAGCTTTCTCCAGGTTTGGTTTTGCGGGGGACAGATGGACTTGTTTTCTCTAAATATCTCGCCCCAAAGTTGATTTTTTTCCTCTGTAAAATGTCCTCACTACCCTACTCCCGAAAGTTGATTAAGTCAATCGAACAGCATACAAATATCACTAGGGGGTCCGTAACTTCCAGATTAACAAATACAAAGTTTCATAACTTCCACATTCAAAAATATCAAATTTGCTACTGCAACATTTGAAAGTACAGACAGTAAATCATCCTTCACACCAAGTTTCAGTTTTCTCTTCTGTCTGGCCTTCAAAGCTGAGACCAAAACTAACAAGCAATTTGTTGGTACAAGAAAAACCGGCTTACCACTTGAACGTTAGAGGCAATAAAACAGAAAATGAAACTTTATCTTTAGGAATTTTTTTCAGGTGAAATCAGATCTGGGGTGACACGGGAGGTGCCCTCCTTTGGCACGGAATGACTCTTAGGCATAGTTCCGAAGTCATCTGTACCACTTTACCGATTTCACAAAGGTGCGCTCCGAGTGGATTTTTTTGATGAGCTTCCCGATCCCCGCGATCCCCGCCTTTTTGGCCTGAAGCGCCTGGGCTCGACTCAGCAGCTCCTCTGCCCAGCTCAGCAAGCCTTGGAGTGCCTCACCAGTGGCCTCATCCATACTCACCGCCATGCTGTGACTCAAGCTGAAAGATATGAAAAACGAAATCATGCAAATTTCATCCACTTTTCAGCTGCCAAAATTCTCTACAATTTTCATCAGGCAAAGAGATCTTTTACCCTAACGGCCCAAGGGTTGCTGGACCTAACCTTCCCCAGTCACACAAACTTCAACAGGTCTTTACCTGTGTGATTCGCTTTGATTGGGTACAGCAGGCCCATTGCACAGTACACAGAGTATGGACAGGCAGTACCTCTTCAAACAAACTCACATACCATCATGCTGCATATCCATCCCCAACTGCTGGGATAAAGTGAGAAGGCCACAGTTCCCATTCAGTCAAAATTCAACAGGGTATGTGCAGGCCCACAGTACTCATTCACACAAAATTAAGCACCAGATAGTGAGCTACCAGTACTCAATGCCACAAACTCACACACTTTACTGGTGTTGAATTCTGTGTGGTTAGGGTTAATGTTTCATCGGCCCACTTCAAAGTCTTAATTCAATTTTAGCAGCGAGTTTTTCAAAAATATATGGGATGCAACCAAGAGCAAAGCTGAGTGATTCCATACATAGGATCGAAAGTCTCAATTTTTTCATAGGCCTACTTCAATTGTCAAAAACTGAGATTTCAATTCACCTGCATCAGCAGAACTCTGCTTATCAGAGGAGAAAGAATCATCCCAATCAGGGATCAAACCCTCCTGTTTGCCAATTATCCTCGAGACTTTCATTACATTTACTGTACACTTATCTTCTGTTCTCTTACACATGTATTATTTTGTATTTATTGTGTGCTAATTTATTGTGTCTTTATCAATTGCTTATTCATTCGATTTATTCAAATTCATATTTAATTATGTGCACTATCTTCATTCATTTCCAGTAATTCCTTTTCTTTTATATCTGAATGTTTATAAGTTCGAACGTTGGTTTCAAATACTTTTATACAGTAATATTTTTATTTATATTTATTTCCTCTATACACAACTTGATGAGGAGCGGCAGGTCTTTGGCCACAGTGACAGTTATCACTTTTGCCTCTCCTGTGCCCGTCTTGTATGTGATGAAAAAAAAAAGACATGGATAAATAATAACATGTCCTACAAAGTGAAATTTAGCAAAGAAAATTCCAAAGCATTTACTTCCAAAACACTTTTTTTGCAGACAAGTCTCACAGGTTTGTGCACGGGGCCCTCAAGTGTTGTCCGTATATGGAACTCTTCCCCTGTTACAATACATTTATTTTACAACAGCCGTTGCAGTAGCCCCACACTAGTGTGGCACGGACTCTCACTCCCGCTTCATCCTTAGCCACACATCCGTACGCGCAATTTCGTGTCGGCGTACTGAAAAAGTTTGGCGCACCTACCTATCATTGTGGGCGCAGTTTCTTTTGCACACAGAGATGATCCTTAGCCTCTCCGCTTTCTTGGCGCCATTTATTGAAGGTCGTTGAATATTACGTCATTTGGCCCCTCATCGTCTCAACGGCTGTTCCATATCAAGACATCTAAACTGCTGCCCAAGTTTTGGAAGAGCCCATTGGTACATGTAGTATCTTATCGCTCAGGCCGTGTATTAGATATGTCTTGACATGGAACAGCTGTCGAGACGATGAGGGGTCAAATTTTAAAGATGGCGACTGTGGGAGCGAGCCCGTGAGATTGAATGGGTGAAGGCAAAAAGATTAGAAAATACCAGAACAACGTGAGTGAAATCATTCAATAAATGGCGCTAAGAAAGCTGAGAGGCTGAGGATCATCTCTGTGTGCGAAAAAAATTGCGCCTAGGATTATAAGAGGGTGCGCCGAACTTTTTCACTATGCTGACACGCAAATTGCGTATGCCGATGTGTGGCTACCGATGGAGCGGTAGGGAGAGTCCATGCCACACTAGTGCGGCTACAGCTGCAATAGACAACTTCAAAACTAGGTTAAAAACTAGCAAAAGCCGTGATTGAAAGTCAGGAAATGGCCAAGTTGTGTGAATGCCTCCTCATTCCCTCATACACCAAAATCAACCAGCACATAGGCTAGGCCTAAAATCACAAACACATTCGCTTTGGGAGTATCTCACCACTGCTCCTTACTTCCTCAAACGAAATTGGAATTTCACAGTGTCACTGCGGTGGTGGACCGGACGTATGAACTCGACTTTCTTGAGTTCGAAATACAAGTACACGTAATAAAGCCATTTACATTAGGTAGGTCCTTTAAAAAGTGCCATATCTTTGCACAGTAGACGTCAGGGTATCAGCAAACAACATGATTATTGGTCTGGTTCCGTTACACTTCTGGTTTGCGCAGGGCTTGCGTTAATTTCATTAACTGGCAATCGTTTAGCGAGTCTGGAAACAGATTAAGCGCGACCTTTTCTGATTTTTGGAATTGTCTCCATTCGGGATTCATCCAGAACACCACAATCGGATTTAATCATTTGTTGCTGGATTAGAACAGACTGTTTCAAATTTTGTCCTCATATTAGCCAATTATATTTTGCTCTAGGAAGGAAACAAGCTAAATGGTGAGGAATATCACCATACTCCTAAATTCTTGAAAAATTGAAAATCTTTGTGCAATCGCAGCTAACACAGTCTGATTTCTCCCCTCACAGTTCACAATTTGATATTAACAGTTTCCCTTTAAAGGTGCTTTCAAAGGTAATGTTAATTTTAAAGCGTTTAAAGCCTGTAGAGTTAGAAAAAACAATTGAGCCGCTAGTGGATAAAGCCCTAATTTATAAAGGCCTTTTAAATTATGCCGACAGAGGGCGCTCGTCAAAACCAGAATGTGCGGGCAGCTCTTTAATATGCAAATTTTAGTAGAGGTAGACTTTTTCCCGGCAGTTTTCTTTGTGCGCGTAGCATCACAGACGGGCTTCTATTTCCCAGTAAATTTGGCGATTCCCCTAAACTCAGCATGCCGAGAGCGAAGAAGCGTTTTCCCGGGGAGACTAGAGATGCCGCTGGACAGAAGAAGAAGTCGAGAGGGGCCGGTGCGGACGGCGGGGTGTCCCGAGCAGGGAGCGACTCGGGCATGGAAAAAATCGTGAGTGTGTGTGGCCTCTTGTGCGATGTGTCACTCTTTGTTGCTGTGCGTGTGAAAAAGCGTACGGGTTATTTGATAGCCCCGGATCGTGGGATCGTGTGTGGTGGGGAGCATTGTTGTTGATTTGGCAGATGTGGCGAGCGTGTCGTAGTCCCAACTTTAATTATTTTGGAAGTGGGGAGGGGACAGGGGTTACCATTCAATCGCAAGTCATATTCGACTGGAGGATTATGTTTCCGTATTTGCACAATTGTTGGTATTGTTGGTTCAAGCATTTCCTTCATGGTTCAAGGTTGGAATTTGTAACCAGCCACCCTACTCAATTCAAGTCAATTGAGTGAGCGTAATAAAACCTGCTTGTTTGGTTTATCATGTGAGAGTCGTCACTGCTTTGTTAAGGATTAAGTGACCTTGGATTATGTTAGAGTACATGAATTATTTCCAGTAATTGTTGCCAATTTTGTGCCCGTGTACAAATGATGTTGGTGTGTTTGATGATACAGTTAAACCAGCAAGAGGAAATGGACATCACTTGACACCCTTTGTACAAAACCCCATGAGACTTGTCTGAAAATTCCATTTTCTAATAAACGCTTTGATATTTTCCCTGCTGAATTTGACTTTTTAGGACAGGCTGTTGCTTTCTGATGGTTGATGACTGGTGGTACATGGAATTCTTCACTGTTCATTGACATACGATTATCTTTTTCCCTTAAAAACATCTTGGTTTTGCTCACCTAGATACACGGTAGATAGATAAATTAGACCTGACTTAAACAACACGTGTAATGATGTAGATCATGGATAGGCCTCCTTCTTGTGCGTCTCGGAACTTGTCTTCAGTTGTAAAGTAATTAGCAGTGTAAAAGGTACACCGTCATACCACTCGATGAGTGGGTTTGTGTTCAAGCTCTGTACAATCAAATCATGACACAGTGGCCTAGCTTGTACATATGTGGGTGCCATGTCAGGCCAGGCCAGGCATATTCCCATCCAACCATAACAAAGACCTCTGTAACTTGTGATCTCATTGAAGACAACAAGGACAGGAAAAGCTGTTTTTAATTTAAATTTTTTTTTTTTGAGCCGTAGGTGTTTATACATGCAAAGTCAAAATTGCGGTGACCTGAAACGGAACTCTTTCTGTTACCGATCAAAGATATTTGCATGTGTCACTTGGCAAGGGATAGACGGTGTCACTGGTGACAAGAGTACTGCAAGTCCGGCAAATGATGCTGATTCAGTTCAGCATTTCAAAAAGGCAAGGTCTTTCAAGAGCAAGGCACGTGTTTGAGTCGGCTTATGGCTACATTGATGGGGCAGACCGTCGCGTGCATATGTGATCCACTCTGTGAAAATGAGTCAAAAGTTGCCAAAAGCCACTTATTGAGTTTTCATTTGCATTGGAAAGAGTAAATTGAGTTTTTGTTTTGATGTATCACAGTATTGTGTTTTTCTTGTATATTTTGGCAGAAACTGAAAGCGCCACCATTCCTTGGGGAGCTTCTCTTCAGCGGGGGAACCAACTGGGACTTGGTGGGTCGGTCCCGACTTCCTAAGTCAAGTGGTATGTTGAGGCCGAACCAATTCCGATAATGAAATATTCAAATATTTGGCTTGCCAGTGGTCCAAACCTAATGATCTGGTTGTCTTAACATTGGCAGTGGAGTTTCAGGTCAGGGGTCAATCCCATGCTGAAGAAGGCCTTGGGTGATAGCGTTGGATTTTGTTTGTCCACGTACAGGAATACATTACGGTTGTTTTGTGGAGTGACTGGCTATTTGTACCTTGTGCTAGTCTGTGCTCAATTTTTTCAGGTTTGGTACTAATATAGTGCAAGCCACTCCTATAGGCCCATCCATACTAGGGCTGTGCCGAATAACCGAATATTCAATCAATTGTCAAATAATGGAATATTTTTCGAATTTGAATATTCTAATGTAAAATTCATGAAAAGGGTGGAAAAAGTTTCTTTTGTTTTGAAGGAGAACACTTGCACTGTGGAGGCTTGTTTTAAGAAGTTTCCAATGAAAGCGACAGAAATCTTACGATTCAAAAAGTAAATTATTCATTAAACAATTTAAAAGAAACATAAATTTTCAACAGGGCAAGAAGTCTTGTTCATCTCTTCAATCTCACTAAATCGTGGCGGGAGATACTCCTAGATGTGAGAAGCTGTTATATTGATCACAATTTACAATTGTGTGTTATTGCATCTGATTTTGTGTATGGTTTGTTCATCAACAATCTGCTGGTTGGTGGACCGAAAATCAGGATATTCAATCAAATTGAAGGTCGAGTATTCAAATAGTGAATTATTCAAATTGACTCAGCCCTACTCCATACCCAATGAGGAAATGACTTCACCCCCACTTCAGTCAACACTGTTGACTTGTCGGAGTTTAACAGGTTCTGTCCAGTCATGTGCCAGTGGTGACAGTGAACCGCTCACGTAGCTGTTGACATTTGTTGGGCTAAGCGTTTTTTCTAGTTCAGCATCCAAGGGGAGTAGAGTTAATCCAACCATCCAGGATCTTTTGTCTGTGAGAGGAATGTGGAACCTTGATGGTTAATTTTTGTCATGTGAACA